AAAAGGCCAAATTGGCTCGGAACATCTGAGAAAAATGAACAGCCCATGGAGGCCCACTAACAAGGAGCATGCAGACCATGATGGCCAGTGATTTTGTTCCTCTAGTCATTTGTAAAAAAGTCTTTGTGGTCTTACGTATTCTGTCAACAGTCGAGTGATTTTTTATTTTGTTTCGTCTCAAATTTCTTTTCATCCAATAGAAATATGGCTTGCCATCATCTCTATTTTGGACTTTTGCTTCATCGCTATTGTTTAGTTAGATGTTTATCTCCCATTTTTTCCTTAATCATAAGCATTCAACATCTGACCCATTCATAAAAAGTCAGTGCAAAGTGCATATAAATTGAGAAATTATTGACGACAAAGTTATCTAATTGAGCTGAAATTTAAGACAACCTGCGTGATGGGCTGGAAGTGAGAAGCAAACATATACCACAACATGTCGGAAACATACTCCAGATGAAACAAAACAAAAACATAAAAAATATATAAGTAGTAATGGCAACACTTTGCACTGGGAAATGGCCGGAAAAAGAAAAGCCCAAAAGAAAGATAAGACCCACAAGGAAAACAAGGCAGAAGGCACACATAGTAAGCCCAGTAGATCTCTATCTCTATAACTAAAACATACGGATTGTCGACGTCTACCCAGCAACACCAAAACCACCATGCGATCCATGACTACTCGGCGCAGAAAAAGAAATTTCGGCAAACCCCTCACCACGCAGGCAGACAATCACGCGGAAAAAAATCCAACCCGTGCATGGAAGGAAAGAGCCAAATCAAGGGGAATTGCCCTTCAATCACGCGATCATACGTGTCTGACCCTGCATACACGCTCGACGGAAGCCTCGCGCGATCACTGCTGCCTCGCCCATCAACATATGCCATGACTAATTAGGAAACGGATTGCCTTCCTTCCCTCTCGCTGACATCAATCACAACATTTTTTCTCCACAAGATCACATTAATTAGGAGATAGGAGATCACGACTAATTAGGAAACAGATTGTCTTCCTTTGATCTCATGCTTGGCATCAATCACAACATTATTGCTCCCGAAGGTGAAGCTCTGCTCACGTAGTTGTCAATCGCGCCTCCGCTCGTCCACCCATCATCATTCGATCGGCATCTACACACCCAACACAACACCACCAACCATGTACCGAACATGAGCAGCGATATATCACAGTCCCCACCGCTCAAATCAAAGCTTACCCGACAATAGGAAGCGGCCGATGTGAGCATTCGTACGCCTCCACCGCTCCGGTCTCCTAGCTAATTGGCTGGCCCTCCGTGAGGAACAAGGCCAACATCATCTACATCTACATAAGGTTGGTCCCTTTCTTGCGTATTCCCATGATAGGTTACATGGTAGCCGGTCGGCGCTTCACGGGCACCGTTCGGATCGGTGTCGGTGATAGCCTCTTCTTGCCTCTTGGGGCCTCAAACTGCGCTCGCCTGGAGAGGAATCGATGGCGCCGAGCTCGAGCTCGTGCCACAAAGACTAGTGTCGCCACGCTCTGTTGTCCTTGGTGGCACGGGCTCGTCTTCCATACTATTCCAAATGATCTTGTTCTCCTATTGTTGTGTTTATTATATAGTCGCACGCCTCATTCCTGCCGCTTTCTTTTACACCATGGGGAAGAAGCCCTTGCATTGCATAAGCATTAGTCGATCGTCTCATACATCGGTCCTCGTGTTTTATTTTAGATTGTTCATACATCTAAATTATATTTTTGCTGAATATCCATAAGTTTGTGATGCTTAAGTTTCTTGTATACTTGTACTGTCTAAAAGGAATAAAAGATGCAACCTATTCAGCAACAAGTTTGAGAGATTGATTGGTTTTTAGGGAACTCTTCATAGTTCATAACATCAATGGTGGTTGTTCATTTAATCATTATTAATGGATGACACCTGTCGCCATGGTTTATGTACAAAATCCGGCAATAGGTGTGTGAGATTTTGCATATGGAGCGAGGAACCAACTTTTAAGTTTCTGAGGTTTCATAGTGCTTTAGCAACATGAGTACCTTCCTGATGTAAAAGAACTACCAGCCCATCATCTGTATTTTCAATCTTTTTACCTTTTAATGATAAATTTATTGTCATGTTCGATCTTATCACTAACTCGTTGTGTTTTTTCCATGGTCAGATCATATGTTCTCTAAGATTGTAGATTTTCTTACTAAGCAATCAGTTTGCCAGATTTGTTCTCCCTAGGTGCTTGTAATCTTGGGTCGATCATCCAAATGCCCTCGAGCTCACACAATCTGATCATCAGGAGTAAGGGTTCTGGCCTTTCTAGGTCTTGGGCTTTCACATCTTATATGGAATTAAAACCTGAATAACTATGAATAGGGCGATCAACTTGGGCATTGGCTCGATTGGGTTTAAGATCTTGCTAGCGCAATGGCCAAGCATTGTTTATGGGCAGATCCTAAGTGAGGGCATGACTGCGGAAGATGTTACTGTAATAAAGATAAGAGGGAGAAGGCGTCAATAGAGCGATGGCGAGGTAGGTAGATTGACCAAGATCCATAATGGATAGTTGTATGCAAACGCGTGGTTGTTATAGTATAAAGCGACTGTTATAGCATAACTAGGTCCTTACAATAAACATCAAAACTTCAATTATGTGCTAATTGTTTAAACTTTGTGAAGACTCGTGTAATAGTGACTACGGCTGCAAAACAAAATGTTGCGAGCATCACACTCAAAATATCACTTTTTAGTAATGCTCCCTCCAAATTGTTTTATAAGGCACACAACATTCAAACATTAACATCTTTGATCAATAACTTCAAATATTTTTTAACTATCAATTTTAATACAAACTTGATACGTTTGGATTTATATCAAATATACTATATATCCAATTATCAAAAGTTTATAAGCAGCTAAACAATATAATATAATAGATTGTGTCATGTCAAGCTATGGAGTACAAGCATAAACAATATAAGCTGAAACAGAGGTAGTAATACAACACACGTTTAAACTAAAATTATTGTGGTTATTTTGTTCCCGTTGCAACGCACGGGCATGTACCTAGTAAAGCAAAAAGGCCGAACTGTGAGCAATATTAAGCATACAAATTTGATTTTACCGAGTAACAGACACAAATGAGATTATAATTTTCTCCGAATCACATTACATAGGCATGTACTCATATATGTACACACCTATCCCTATACACGCACGCATATACATCCTATTAATATGAATACCTCAGAAAAACTGAAATTAAGCAGTCAGACCTTGAGATTAATGAAGTCATTATAGGTGTTTCGCTGTTGACGGACATGTCACCTACTATTGAAAGAATGATGCTGGTAAATCCAAAAAAATATGAGCACCTGCATCAAATCAAGAATTTGAACTTGTGTGGACAGAAACCCAATAAGACTTTGATTCTATAATTCGGTATACATATAAAGCAAATTCATTAATTCAACAATTTGCAAGAAGTTGCAATTGTTATATACAAATTCTATTGACGACAATATATATTATTTGAAAAAAACGTTTCTCAACTTTGTAAGTCAACCATAAAACCGTTAACCAGATGTTTATTTTTTGAGCTAGAATAAGAAATTATGTCTACCATGTGAGTTAAGTAAATATGAATCCACTATACAATACTACCTCTCTCTCAGAAAAAATATATCTATAGATTTAATTTAAGTAAAACTCTTAAGTTAGTTAAGTTTATAAAAAATAGTATGAGCATTTATATGACTTAAAATATATACTAAAAATATATTTAATGAGAATTTTAGTGAGATTTATTTAGTATAATAAGGGTCTGTTCAGGTACCCATGGTCTATAGTTGTGCCTAAAGTTTAGTTAATCTCAAAAAAAGACAGTGAGCTAAATTGGCTTAAAGTTTAGTTCGTAACTTTAGTCTGCTAAATCTTAGACCATAAAACCTAACTGCCTTTAAATATTTATATATAAGGTTGGTCAAACTTAATATGATTTGATTTAGCACCATTCTGTAATAGTTGATGAATGGATTATAATAAATACTAAATAGTAAATGAAATGGTATCTCGTAGGTAAAGGTTTGGGGGAATTTTTTTGTGCCCATTTAAAAAGATCGCAATGCCCTGTCTGTCCCTGGAAAAGTTTAGCGGTCTTCAACGCCACTATTCTAATTTTTTTGCCCTCCATTCCTATCTTGAATCGTTTTTTTGGGCTCTAACATGTTCAAGCTGAATGCAATGGTGTGAAAATCATAAAATACCTTTAAATCTAAAAATATGTCATTAATTTTTTGATCTAACTTCAAATGAAAAACTCAAAACTTTTTTTTGTAGATAATTAAATGAAGATAATTTTCATATAAAATTTATCTTTATTTAATCTATAAAAATATGATTTGAGTTTTTAATATATCTTAGAAAAATCATATCTTTTTTACTGAATTAAATGAAGATATTTAGACTTAAGGGTATTTCGACGAGATCTTTCACACTGCAGCTTTGATTTTGAGTTAGAGCCTAAATAATGACATATTTAAACAAAAATTATATTTGGAGGGCAAAAAAATTGAATTAGTGACCTAAAAGACGGCGTGTATCAAATAAAAATTGAATTTTTGTGACACACACAGACATGACGATCTTTAATAATAGTGAACAAGGAAATCCCCTTAGGTTTTACATTCACCTCCCTTCATTTTCTCACATGTATCACAGTAGGCCGCATTACATCAGCCCAGCCTTCCCCAATTCCGGCCACACCCACACCCGCTACGCCTGCGCCGCCGCCTCCCCTTCTCTTCTCTTCCCGTGCAAGCTCCACAGCCGCCAGCTCCCCCTCCCTCCGCGCTGCGCCCGCTTCCGCGCCGCGATTCCTCTATCCCCGCCTTCCCCGCCCGCGCCGGCTGTTGCACCTGACCCAATCCGCCAATCTGTTCCCCACTTCCGTGCGAGGGGTACTATCACCGCCGGCCGTTTTGATTCGGGTTCTGATCGGATCAGCGTTGGCAGATGGGTCGCGACGCCGAGGGGACCTCGCCGCCGGTGTCCTCGTCGGAATTGGAGCAGGAAGAAGACGACGACGACTGCTACCTGAGCGATCAGGAGGACGATGCGCTAGAAGAGTCCGTCCTCCAGGTCCTCGAGGACGAGCACCTCGAGGACTGCCATTGGTCCGCCTCATCCGTGCGTGTCCTATCCTGATTTTGTCCTCCGCATCTGTCTCCGTCGTGAGACCACCCTCAGCTGCTTCCTCTTCCTGACGCATTCCTTCTTTGCTTGGTTGCAGGTGATTACCAAGGAATCCCTCTTGGCGGCGCAGGTGACTGCGGGGGCTCTCCCCCATTCGGTTTCTACACTACACGCTATTTCTGATACTGATGCTTACTTTCATCTTTTTTTTTTCTCAATTCCATTTTGTGGTTTGGGCATTTGTGGGATTGCAGAGAGAGGATCTTAGGAAGGTGATGGAGCTGCTAGGGTTGAGGGAGCACCATGCCCGGACGCTCCTCATCCACTACCGCTGGGACGTGGAGAGGATTTTCGAGCTTCTCGATCAGAAGGGCAGGGATAGGCTCTTCTTGGAGGCCGGTATTCCTCTTCAGTACACCAATAATGCCAGCACAACCTCCTCGGCGGAGGTGACCTGCAATGTTTGTTATGATGATGTGCCACCCTCGGCTGCCTCCGAGATGGACTGCGGCCACAGTTACTGCAATGATTGTGAGTAATGTCTGTTTAGGTTGGCTCAGATGATTCCGCATTTTCATCTTTTGCATGTTCCAGTTAATATATTCTGGTAGAGAAATGGTCTAATGCATTGTTTGTAACAAAGAAATATGGAAGAATGACACCTCTTAACCACTATTCTTTCTAACAGTTTTGTCTCTTGTCTATTAGAACTTGCAAGATCTGTTTGGTATTCAGAAGCTGCTTTGTTTGCTAACAGCTTTCAATCCTCATATATTATCAATAAAATAGTTCAATATTGTTTCTTCCTTTAGCTCTGTATAACTGTATTGTATCATTTTGGGCCTTTGGGGCATTTGTATCTGTATGTCATGCATGAAACTGGCCTTGTGATTTTGGAGCTACTGATAACTGTTGCATGTATAGTTCTAACATACTTTTGCTTCAAATCATTTCATATGTGTCGATTCATACACACTCATCATATATTTTATTTTAAAATCAATCTAGAGTGGGCTTTTTAATTCTATCGTTATATTTTTTATGTTTACACGAATCATATTATTTTTTCTTCCTACCCCTTACCACCAGTCCACCACCACAAACATAGAGGACAAAACAGAGAATAGCCTTTCTATGAATGATCTTTTGCTGCACCTAGTTTCTTCCTGGATAGCTACTAACTTTCCTGTCCCTCACCTAGGTTGGACTGAATATTTCATTGTGAAAATAAATGAGGGTCAGAGCCGGCGTGTCAGATGCATGGCTCCAAAGTGCAATGCTATTTGTGATGAAGCAATAATTCGAAAACTAGTCATTGCGAGACACCCAGATATCGCAGAACGCTTTGAAAGATTTTTACTGGAATCATATATTGAGGATAATGATACAGTCAAGTGGTGCCCAAGCACACCACATTGTGGAAATGCTATACGCGTCAAAGGCGATATTTATTGTGAGGTGGAATGCACATGTGGATGCCAGTTTTGTTTTAATTGCTCCTTACAAGCACACTCACCGTGTTCCTGCTTGATGTGGGAGCTCTGGATCAAGAAATGCCGTGATGAATCAGAAACAGTGAATTGGATAACAGTAAATACTAAGCCCTGTCCCAAGTGTCACAAACCTGTGGAGAAGAATGGTGGCTGCAACCTGGTTGCATGTATATGTGGACAAGCATTCTGGTTAGATCTATGCTTCTTCATCTTGTTCCATTCCCAATTCATATAGTTGAAGTTGATTAACCCAATATTAGCATTCTTTGTATGATGAAATTTTCCACTTGATTGTTCTTTTGGTCTTGGCCATACAACACTGTTTTCTTGATCTCCTAGTTTTTCTCCTTTATATCATCATTATAATTTAGATTAGCTGTTCTATACTTCTACATGGCGTGGTCACAATTTCATATATCTAGTTAGAGGATGTTTCGTTAAAGAATCTGGTAAATCTACCTCCTTGTATCAAAATCTGGGAGGCAATTCATGCACAGGTTATTAGGTTGTCTTTTATGGAATATTCAGACAGACATATTAAGTTAACTGTTGCCAAGAGCACATGTTATGATGTCAGTCTTTATATCTAAACCACAAGCATATAATTTAGGATTGATTGGTGAATTGCCTATGAGATGATTGTTGTGTCAATATCGGTACATATACATATAAATATATTTTAGTACCTTAGTCTTAGTATTGGTTGCTCTTTTCCACGCTCTTTTTTTTGCAAGAATAAGATATTTGTAATTTGTAAATCTAATTTCTTTTGGTTAGAGACAACCATTTAAATTTGCTACATAAAATTAGTTGCTAGTGGTGTGAATGATTCCAGTATTTTGCTTGTAGTATAATACACAACTTGACAGAAACATATGTGTGGCTGGTCTTAATGGTGTATGCTAAATACTCTTTCTCCTCATTATAGGATGAGCATATAACACTTAGGCCTTTTCCCAAAGGGGATTGAGGGGGAAATGAACTAATATCCCCTCACCCATGTGGCAGATGTTGGTCTCTCACTACCCTGCACAGGTAAGCAGTAAGCTTACTAGCACACACACTCACTCACTATGGCTAGAGGTAGAAGAAGGGGTGAGCACAGGCACACACACAACACAAGCACCAGCGTTGGCCAGAGCTCTGCTCTTTTGGTTTGTGGCAACTGAACTGCCTGTTTTCATTGCATAGAGGTAGAGTATATACAACTCATGTACCAACTATAAGGTACACATGAGCATAGTGAGTCATGACCCCAACTACTCCTAGTACTAGCAAAGACAATTCCTATCTCAACCCACTACCAAGACATGGTGATGTATTACCTACCAACTAATGTACCGGGTTGTGGCCTATTGCCCTCATCACATAACAACTAGGACAACAGAGAATGACCTATTGCCAAATCATTTGTCGAAAACAAAGAAAGAGAGAGTCTTACAATTCTTCCCATAATCCTATACAAACCAAAAGTCTTGACCTCATCCATGCCAATCATCTTCCTCGGCTCCATGAACCATGAGCGCTGAAAGTGACTTGGTGAGGATGCCGTAGTCGTCTGTCGGGTCTCGACAAACTCGATGACGATCCGCCCTCCATCGACGCAGCGATCCGGAGGAAGTGAAACTTGATGTCGATGTGCTTACTCCGGTCGTGGAGGATAGGATTCTTGGCGATGGCGATGGCGGGCTGATTGTCCACCATCGTAGCCGGGCGGGTGAGCTTCCTCGCCGGTCACTTCGCCCAAAGAGCCAAAGGTAACAGACATGACATAGCCGCCGCGCCCGTGTGTGGCATGACGGCGTACCCGCCTCACACGTCGACATCACCACAATCTTCTGCTTCAGCGATTGCTAGGCAATGGGGGCTGCTCCAAGGAAGACAAGCACACCAGAGGAGCTCCGTCGCCTGTCGATGTCGCCCGCCATGTCTGCGTCGTTGAAAACAGTGAGCTCCGGCTCACCTTCCTTTACCTTGGGGGGTGCCTCAATGAAGACCGTGAGCCGCAACCCACCCTTGCCACCACTCTTGGGGAAGATGATCGCTTGATCGAGCGTCCCCTTGATGTAGCGCAGCAACCTTTTCACCGCCGTCCAGTGATCCTCACGCGGTTCCTCCATGAACCGACTAACATACCCGACCGCGAACGCGATGTCCGGCCGAGTATGTGTGAGGTAGCGCAGCCCGCCGACGATGCTCCGGTAGCGCGTCGCGTCCACCTTCGCCGCCATGCTGTGCTTGGACAGCTTCAGCCGCCGCTCCATTGGAGTTGCGCACGGCTTACACTCTGCCATGCCGCTGCGCTCCAGCAGCTTCTCCGCATAGGCGCGCTGGCCCAGGGAGATGTGTCCTTCCCCTGCCTCACCTCAATGCCGAGGTAGTAGGAGAGCGTGCCGAGATCACTCATTTTGAAACGAGCAGCCATCTCGCGCTTGAAGCCGTCAATGTCCTCCGCCCGCGCTCCAGTGACGATCAAGTCGTCCACATACACGCCGACGACGAGCTCCTCCTTCCCCGTCGTCGCGTGTACAGCGCGTGCTTTGTGGCGCAGCGAGTGAACCCAAGCTCGCCCAAGGTGGCGTCGAGCTTGGCGTTCCACGCCCGAGGGGTCTGTCGCAGGCTCGCAGCCCGTAAGAGCACCTTGCGCAGCTTGAGCACCTTGTGCTCAGCGCCCTTGACGGCGAAGCCCGGAGCATGCTTGACGAAGACCGTCTCCGCGAGCTCACCGTCGAGGAACGCAGACTTGACGTCGAGGTGGTGGACGTGCCAATCCTTCGCTGCTGCCATGGCCAACAGCAAGCGAACGGACTCCATTCGCGCCATCGGAGCAAAGACTTCCTCGAAGTCGATGCCCTCACGTTGCATGAAGCCGCGGGCGACGAGCCGAGCCTTGTACTTGGCAATGGCGCCGCGCTCGTCCCGCTTCACCTTGTAGACCCACTTCAACCCGATCGGCCTGCAGCCCACCGGTGGATCCACCAGCTCCCATGTCCCATTGTCCTCGATCGCCCTCATCTCCTCCAACATCGCCTGGCGCCAATTGGCGTCGCGTTCAGCCACTGTGAACGTCGGCGGCTCCTATGCGCTGACAAGGAGTAGTTCTGGGTCATCCAGAAGCCGGCTAGCCAGCCCAGGAGATCCCCCTTCGCCGACAAGGTTGTCCACCCGCCTGAACCAAACCTCCTCGCCGTCATGGAAAGCATCTACGAACTCGTCGATGTCTGTGGGTTGTGATGCGAACTCCAGTGGGGGTGTCCCCTGTGCTGCCATCGCAGGGGACTATGGTGAAGGTGAATGCGCCGCTACTGGTGGAGATTGCTCTCCAGCAGCCTGCTCTCCAGCGCCATTATCTCCTCCTCCTGGATCACCAAGTGCTCGACAGCAAATGTGCTGCTGACACCAGCAGCTTCCTCGGCGCCTTGATCCTCCCAATCCCAAGCAGCCATCTCGTCGAACACTACATCCCTAGAGACCACCACCCTGCCTCCCTTGGGATCATAGAGCCGATAGGCCTTGATGCCCTCCTCATAGCCCAACAGCACCATGGGCGTGCTTCTGTCCTCCAGCTTGCCGAGGTGGGGCTTTGTGTTCTTGACATGGCCAACGCAGCCAAATGTCCTGAGGAAGGACATATTCGGCTTGCGTCCATGTCAAGCCTCGAACGACGTCTTGCCCTTCAAGGCCTTGGTGGGCACACGGTTGAGGATGAACACCGCCGTGGTCACCGCCTCTCCCCGAACTCCGCCGGCATCTTCTTAGCCTTCATCATCGACCTCGCCATGCCGACCACTGTCTGGTTGCGCCTCTCCACCACACCATTCTGCTGCGGCGTGTACAGAGCGGTGTGGTGGCGCACCACACCTTGATCCGCGTAGTATGTTGCAAACTCTATAGAGGTGAATTCGCCACCGCGATCAGTCCGTAGCATGCGCAGCTTCTTGCCGCTCTCAGCCTCCGCGCGCGCCTTGAACTTCTTGACCGCTTCCGCTGCCTCGGTCTTGCTGGTCAGAAGCTGCAGCCACATGAACCGGCTGCAGTCATCCACCAGCAAGATGAAGTACTTGCGCCCGCCGTGCGTTGCCGGCGTGATCGGTCTGCAGAGGTCACCATGGACCAGCTCGAGGGCCTCTGTCGCGTGGTACTTCGCCGTCTTCGGGAACGGCAGCCTTCTTTGTTTCCCGGCCAGGCAACTGTCACACAGCTCGCCTGCGTGCTCGATGTGAGGCAGCCCCCATACCATCCTTTCCAGCTTGCTGAGGGCGTCGAAGCTGAGATGGCTATAGCGGGCGTGCCACAACCACGACTCATCCGTGCGCTGCGCAGCCAAGCAGATGGACTTCACCTTCAAGTCGAGCAGGTACAGCCGGTTTTGGGACCTCTTCACCTTGGCACGAAGTCGCTGCTCCCGGTCCCTGATCCTGAGGACCCGATCTGATCGGCCACTCGCTACCGCTCTTATCCACCGAATGATGATGGTGCTTGAACGTAGTTGGGATGTAATATACATCCATCGAGCGCCGCTCGCACTCAACTTGATGGTGCCGCGCCCATGTTGTCGTCCCTTGAGCTCGTCACCAAACCGTGCCGGTTGTTGTCGCCGAGCTCATGAAGTTGCCTTGGAGCCCGCCATGTGGTCCGGTACCACCGCCATTTCGCTTCGCCGCCCACACGTCCGAGGTGGACTTGGACGCGCGGTTCGTCGAGGTTGACACCCTTCAGAGCCTTCCTCTGCTCATCCACCGCCATCACCTCTCCCTTCTCCTTGGCCTCAACGTCGTGCAATGCACAGAACGTCGCCATCAGGAGAGTGACCTCATCATCATCATCAACCTGCGCCAAATGAGCCCCAGCCTTCTTCTTCTACTTGCGATTTGGGCACTCCTTTGCCCAATGGTCTGTCTTCCTGCAGCGCCGGCAGGCGTTGGGGTTGATCTTCTTCTTCTTCTCCAAAGAAGCCTTGCTGCGGCGCTTGCCATCGCCACCGCGGCTGGAGGAGGCTTCCCCGGACTTCTCCTCCTTCATCCGGGCAGCCCACTCCTCTGTCAGCAGCAGCTTGCCGCTGTCCGTCGTTGCTGTGGCCTGCTCCTTGCGCTCGTCCACCACCCGCAGACAGCCTGTCACATCCTCAATGGTGAGGGTGGACAGGTCCAGCATCGTCTCTATGGAGAGAGCGATCTGGATGTACTTCAAGGGCACAGAGTGGAGGTACTTGGAGACCGCCTCTTCTTCGTCGATGGTGACACCGTGGCTCCCCAACTTGCTGATGAGCGATTGCAGGCGGAGGGAGAAGTACTTCACCGACTCATCATTCTTGAACTTGAGGTTGGCGTACTCCTGCTTCAGCAACTGGGCCGTCGCCTTCTTTTGCGCGATCAGAGCCAACGCGCATCGCTGCAATGGCCTCCCGCGCCTCCTTAGCAGACTTCTTCGCCCCCAACGGCTCCCAGTACTCCGCAAGCACAACAACGAGGATGGCCTCCAGCGCTGACATGTCATCTTCTTCTACGTCGGTGCCCTTGTCGATGGCGGTCTAGAGCCGTCGGGCTCTGAGCTTGACCTTCATGGTCACCGCCCACTCGCCATAGTTGGTGCGAGTCAGTTGTGGCCAAGTAGTGCCGCTGACCTCCCGCACCGTGCGCACGACGACCTCCTGTCGTGGCTGGGTAGCCCCAGCAGCACTGCCGCCTCCCGCAGCTCCGCTGCTGTCGCCCGTCTCTGAGCCAGGTGCCATCGCCGGCGATTAGTCCGGCGATGCAGGCGAACCTGTACGGCTCCGATGCCACTTGTTGGTCCCTCACTGTCCTGCACAGGTAAGCGGTAAGCTTACCAGCACACACACTCACTCACTATGGCTAGAGGTAGAAAAAGGGGTGAGCACAGGCACACACACAGCACAAGCACCAGCATTGGCCTGAACTGCCTGTTTTCATTGCATAGAGGTAGAGTATATACAACTCATGTACCAACTATAAGGTTCACATGAGAATGGCTGAGTACAACCCCAACTACTCCTAGTACTAACAGTACAATTCCTACCTCAGCCCACTACTAAGACATGGCTGATGTATTAGCTATCAACTAATGTAGCAGTGGTGGCCTATTGCCCTACTGCTACAGCAACTAGGACAGCAGAGAATAACCTATTGCCAAATCTGTTGTGCAGCAAACAAAGAGTGAGAGGTCAGCAGCAGATTATGTCATACAACAAATAGTCAGAAAAGTTACATTAAGTGTCAAAATTAGTGTCCCGTCGTGTTGTCTGATTGAGGTTGCCTTCTATTATTTTTTCTGTTCTAGATTTCATCCTCTTTTCCTTTCATGATTATGTTATCAATGTTATGTTACTTATATTTTGTTATGTGATACTTTTGAATGCAGTTGGTTATGTGGGGGTGCCACAGGTAGAGATCACACATGGTCAAGTATTAGTGGCCACAGTTGTGGTCGGTTCACTGATGATCAGACTAAGAAGACAGAACAAGCAAGGCGAGACCTCTATAGATATATGCACTACCACAACAGATACAAGGCTCACACCGACTCTCTTAAGCAGGAAGCAAAGCTAAAGAATGAGACCCAGGGGAAGATATCCATTTCAGAAAATAAGGAGTCAAAGATAAAAGATTATTCTTGGGTCATAAATGGGTTAAACAGGCTATTCAGATCAAGGCGTGTTCTTTCCTATTCGTATCCGTTTGCATTCTACATGTTTGGTGATGAGATTTTCAAGGATGAGATGACTCCTCAGGAAAGAGAAATGAAGCAGAATTTATTTGAGGATCAGCAACAACAATTAGAATTTAATGTTGAAAGACTATCTGGTTTCCTTGAGAAAGATTTTCAACTTTTTACTGATGACGAGGTCATGGATACAATGAAGCATGTCATCAATCTTTCCAATGTGGTTGATAAGCTCTGCAAACAAATGTAAGAACTCTTCTTGACAGTTTTTTTTTTCAGTTTGTAATTTCATATACAAATTATTATAGTAAGTACTCTTTTGCAGGTATCAGTGCATTGAGAATGATTTGTTATATCCTCTACGCACACCTCACAACATTGCTCCATACAAATCAAAGGGCCTTGACAGGGCCTCGGAGCTAAATATTAGTTGGGATTCTGCTGAACAAAGTTCACAGTCAACAAAATGTAGTCAGGATGAACACAGGAACCAACCAGGTATGCATAATAATGAATATGGTAATTTTATCGCATTTCCTTTATCCAGCTTACTATCACACGAGAAGGATTACCTTTTATTATTTATTTATAGTTGCCGATGCTTATTTCCATTTGCTGTGCAGCATCGACTATTCTGGGGAAGCGAACTGAGTTGCATGGCTCGAGTTCTGATAATAGGGGGCACCAATCTAACAAGCGAGAGAGGGTAGATGCTAATGGTGGTGGTGGTGGTGGTGGTGGTGCACTTTTTGATCTCAATGTGCCAGCTGAAGTGGTGGACAAGATCTGAAACTTCATTATCTGATGGGTGATGGCACATTCCTTTGAACTGTACAGCTGACTTAAGCTTCCTCACCAACATAAAGGAAAAATACTGTTCTTTTTGCTGCCTTACCACCATAGAGTACCTCCATGTCAAATTTTTACCCTGGTGCTAGGATCCCAAGATATATAGAGTAGCTTTTAAGTTATATGTTGCATTTCATGACATGATTTGAAGCCAATGTTCATAGTTCTGATAAAGCTAGTTCTACCCCTCAAGCAAGATGAGGATATTTTGGAATAGAACTTGATCATGCTTGTGTATGCAGCATGGTGAAGGGAATTGTTTGTTGACAAGAATGGGGGTTCTTATTTCCTGGGGAATGGGTGGTTATAGTGACAATGCAGACAATGTTATAAAACTGCTACTGATTCGTCGTACTAAATGTGCACTTTGTTTGTTGCAACTGCCAACGATCTTGCTCCAAAGACGGGCAGGTTTCTAGGCTAGCTTTGTATTGGACCTGTGAAAATCTCGGTTTTCTGGGCATGCATGCCAGATTCTTATGGCTAACTGTATTTAACTGTAGCAGTGGGAGGAGCGGCAAGATGTCAATCAGGTACGTGTTGATAGTGTGTTCCTTAACTTCGTTTCTTCAGACTCCAAGGACCATCCGCTATCGTCCTTGCAATTCCAAATTGGAAGTTGTACTGTTTTTTTCTAGATAGGTACATGACTTTTATTATGTATATCTAGACATAGCCTATATTTGAATTGGATCCAAATTGGAAGTTGTTCTGAATTTTCTAGACACATGACTTTTATTATATATCTAGACTTAGCCTATATTTAGGTCTATAACAAAAATAATGTACTTTCTCTATTTTTAATTATAAGTCGCTTGAGATTTTTGGTACATCAATTTTGCTATGTATCTAGACATACATTATATCTAGATATATAGTAAAATCTATGTATCAAAAAAATCAAAGCGACTTATAATTTGAAACGGAGGGAGTATGTGCATGCAAAAGACAGGACTACTTATAATTTGGGAAACTGAGGGAGTACATATTTGCCAAGTCAATCTTTGGACCGTGCGTTGAAACGTTGCATCTAGCCATGCTGTACGTTTCTGGAACCCATGCAAAGAGACGCGCATATGGTGATCCATGGAAATTGGGAGCACTTGTACGATGCACACACATTTGTCCTTCGATTTGTGAAGTCTCTAGCTACTAGCTTGCCCTGTACTACTAGAAGAAAATTGCTCGAGCTCTGTAGCCCTCTGACTTCGCTAATAGGACGACGCCCCAATTTGCCATGGTAGAGGGCATCAGAGTACCCGTTCTCTACTGCAGCTGGTAAGTTAGCCTCTGATAGCTTAGAGAACCGATGAGAAGAATCTTTCTGGATCTCGGCCTTGGGTCGATTCCATAATCAAATGCTCGTGGAGCTGGTTTCCAATGTGCATCGCCACCGCATCTGCGGTTTCTTACCTACTGCCCCAATTTCTCGCTTCGCCTACACGTTCCAGCGATTGTTTACAGCCAGTAGCTGGACGCATCGGCATGAGAGGGTCCAAGAGCACATGAAACCTCGAGCATGTCTGTCGCTGGGGGCATTTGTTTAATCCCTCCCACTGAGATTTTGTTATGCGGATAAGTAGGGTTACCAAGGTTCCTCTTGTCGTTATAAGCGGCACGGCTTCCCTTGGCCGTCATTGGCAGCATCATTTGGATCTTAGTGCTGGTCTCTGGTCATCGCGAAAAAATCATTGTAACCGAGCTCTCTGGGGATAAGATGCAGCAACAGGTGGCTAGTTCACAGAACCAGCTCATTTGACGCACACTGGACACAGAAAAAAGATGACCCAAAACTCGCGATCATATTTCTCTTCTCGAGCAACTTGCGGCATGATTCACAAAAAAGATGCGGCAGGTCCGGTGATTGTTGTGCAGACCAGAAGAGAGGCTGATCAGATGGTGCTGTACGTACTACGCGTGCGCTGTACCACGCGCGCATGTGAGACGAGAGACGCTGCGCCCTGCCCCTGCGTCCTGCATCTGGAACAGTTGGGGGGCACACGGGGCAGGCCTAGTGGCGCCAAGCAAGCCCACAGCTAATTGCACTGGGATTACGTGAGATTCCGTGACAAGAGGCTACATGACGCCTGGGCCCGGACGGACGGGATGGTTGGGTTGGGGGCACACTGCAGATGGTATTGAGCACCTACCAATCCTATCCAACCGATACACCCTTCGACGTAGCGCTTGTCATGTAGGAGTATCCTACTACCGTGCTACTTGCCCAAAAACAAGACGCGACTTGACACCGTCGACGTCGGGCCATGTGTGTGGTCGTCTCGGCGTAGGATTTCTTTTGTGCAGGGTTTGATATAGTACAGGAAATCCTGCTTATACTAGCAACTACTGCGCCTCGGTCTCACTGGACAGTCAAAGATTTGTCGAGCCATTTGAGTGAGTGACCAAGGAACAGGAAAATGTTAGCTGGGGTTGGTCCAGTCTCAGTCCAGACATGAGGATCTGTAATATGGTGTAGCAGCATCAGGACAGCGTCTGTGGCGACCTTGCATTGCCATTGTGAGTACATGTACCGGTGCGATGTGGGCTGTGGCGACACCAGTGACCGCGTCACATGACCTGCCAAAAACTTTCTTTTGGAGGTGCAACAGAGGGCAGAAGTAGCAGGCTTAACAGTGTGCATCAAAGCAAAGCAGCGCCTCTTTCTAGGCGAGGCGGCGAGATGACAAGCTCACCGGCTTGTCCGGCCGCCAGGGCAGCAGCAGTTGTGGCCTCCGACTGCGAGCCTGCCAGTTTCTTGGCCGTGTCCTTTGGCTTACCTTGCAACTCGCTCGCTGCCCCGGCACGAACTTGGTCACGTCTGTTCCTCTGCGCCGCGGTGTGTGTGTGGTCATGTACGTATGCATGCAAGACAAATAGGACGAGCTCCATCAATTACCGGAGCAGAGTCGGTCACAGGTCAAACAATGAAACAACGCCATGCATGCCACTGTCCTGCTGCGTTGCTTTTTCTTTTTATCCGCATGTGACCTGCTCATCTCATCATTGCCCAGCAAAAACCTGCATGCACCGATGAAGTTGGATCACCATTTCTACCGACAGAAACAGGAACCTCACAATCTTTTGAACCGCTTGGTGAAAAAGAACCATTCCTAGCTTGCCTTGCTATAAAGAGCAGATGCTCAATGTGGCAGAAGATTCTGTTACTATTTAGTAATCGGATTTTCTGATACTAGCCTGATTATGATGTGACAGAGGTGAAAAGGTTCAGCAGCCTTGGACGGAGTAAAATTACCACGCGTGCTGCGTGCATAAACAAAGTAAACCGGGCAGATCTGGGTAGAAAATAGAGTGAGGCCCTTCTCTGAGCTTCTGCCCTCTCGACCTTGCATAAAATAGAAAAGAAGTTGGTACTCAGTCTTAGGAGTCACAGGCATAAATATACAAGGGACTTGTCACAATAAATAAAGCATCAGAATAACCGGACACAGGACCGATCTGGAGTGCTGTTCTGAGATAGCCTCTGAAACAGTACCAGCTCCACTGTACCGGCAGTGGAGTGGTGTGGTCCGTGTGACCGTGCGGAGTGGGGGACTGGGGTGGAGTGCCTCAAGTTCATCGCCCTCAGGCCCCAGCCCTCGCACTCCTCACTCAGTTGTCCTCTCACCTCACAGTCACAGAGCAGGGAAGAAGGGGCCTGGGAGGGAGGGAAGGAGGATGAACTTTCAGCCGAGAAACAAAAGGCAAAAGCATCATCAGGTCAAGGCTTTAGCAGGTGATCGACTCCTCGGCAACAACTCAGGCCTCCACTTGCTGCGGATGATTCACCTGTGATGTGAGGCAGGTAGACGCTGCCGTCTCCCTTTCTAGCCTCTACCTGTACCCCATCTGCTCCCTTCGATTCTTTAACCTTCAATGCGGGTGGCGGATTTCAGCGGTTTGCTTACCTAGCCGCAAGATAGCAATGGCGAAGGCCTGGTTGAGCTCTGTGTCAGCTCCGGGCGGAGAAGCTGTAGACCTGTAGCCCCCTTGCTAGCTGGCAATGTCTCACAGCCGCTCCAAGAGGTGAGACCTCCCTGTTTCCCTTATTCAGTCTGACGAACCTGCGTATTTAACTTTGATGGTTGCAATACCCTGTTTGGAGAACTGCTGTTGCCAAGAAAGATGGTTCTTGTGTATTAGAAGCGGTTCTAGGCTAAGTGACCTTGGGGATTTTGCATTGGCAGCGATTCTATCAGAGTGCTCAGAATGGATAGCGCGGATTCGGCTTCGCCGAGGTGCCACGCTCAGCATCAACAGGTAACTGTCCGTCTGCGCTTGTTGAAAAATGCGAGGCTACCACTTGCTTCTTCAGTGTCTTGAAAATATCTGGTACATATCCTGACTAGATGTTATCTGATTTCTGTTCTGCTTGACTCTTGTACAATGTCTGTTGAATAGAAGGATGCCGGAGAACTCAAGGACCAGAATAGCACCAGCAAGATGCAGTCCAGTGCTACTGAGCTTCCTCCATGCTCCTTGAAGCGTGAGGTAAAATCAGATATCAGATCTTCTCCCCCGTAGCCATAGGTTATTGTTCATTCCAGACCTGTCTCAACTAGTTGTTTCAGAGGTTATTGGAATGGAGGGAGTATTTATTTTGTCATGTTTTCTTCACCAAATGCCATATGTCAGTATAAGAATGTCAATATAATTTGTGATACCTCTTTGTGCTCTCAAGGATGGTAAAGAGCTCACACCTATGCACCAAATATCGCTTACTCACTGCTGCAAGCCTGCAAAGGAGGCGACAACTATGGCGTTACTGCTTGCCTGCAGAAAACTCCTTGGTGGTGAATGCCTAGTGTTTGTGTTTAGCTATGTTTCCAAATATGTAACGCCCCTGTAAACTCGCTGTTGTAACTGTCAACGAAATCTAGTCGGCATTCTACCGAGGGGTATACCTATGGTAGTAGATGATCGGTGGGGGTGCGCGTGATCAGGAACCGGATGGTAACAGAGACACAAGACACAAGATTTATACAGGTTCAGGCCGTCGATGTGACGTAAAACCCTACGTCCTGTGTTCTGTTATTTTGTATTGATTGTGTAACAGATTCGATATCTCTCGTCTAGGGGACCCCTGCTCCTCCTTACATACTCTGGAGAGGTAGGGTTACAAGGAAAATATCCTATTTGGTATTACAATATATTTTTTAGCCTTGCGGTGCACGCCGACCAGTGCCGTGCGCCGCACGCCTTGATCTTGTGGGCTCGGCCACCTCTGATGGTGCGGCCCATGTCTTGTCCTATGGATACCGGGGGCCGTATCCCCCACAGTAACCTTCTCACAACCCTCATGCTACAGTAAACGTTGTTGAGTAGCATTTGTTATTGCCCTCCAATGCAATTCAATCAGGTGGGAAGTCTCCTCCCCTCCATGACCTGTAAAAAGAGGAAAAAAAACTCAGCATTATTCATTCTTGAAATGTATGTGATGATATTTCTACCTGATTATTCATACTTACGATGCTACTTCTGCAGGTCCAAGTCCTTGAAAAGCGACTAAATGATCAATTCGTCATGCACCGTGCTCTTGAGAAAGCACTAGGTTACAAGCCTTGTACTATTCATGCATCAAGCGAGAACTGCATTCCAAAGGTGAAAGTCCTTCTCTTATACAGTTCAGCATCTGGACGAGCTAAAAAAAAGTGTAGAAATATTTACCATATTATTCCAATGTTTTACTTCTACACCATGATTTTTTTTTTTTCTGAAGACAAGAGTTTTCACTTAACACATAGCCTCTTTCTTTCTTCCATGCCATCTCAGCCGACTGAGGAGCTAATAAAGGAGATTGCAGTACTCGAGCTAGAGGTCATATGCTTGGAGCAACATCTCCTAACACTATACAGAAAGGCTTTTGAACAACAATTTTCCCCTGTGAATTCTGCTTGTGATGTCGAAAGTAACAAGCAGCCAGCTAGGTCTTTTTCAGGCATACTATCTGAAGCTTCAGAGCTCAACTTCTCCACCCCAAGGAAGCACCAACTAATCCAGTCCAGTCGAATGGTCATGGCACGCAAGTCCACACCTACAGCTTCTACGAGCGAGACTAGCAATGAAAAGATCAATATTGGACGCAGCCATTCCTCGCTCCTGCACCGTTCAGTTAGGGTATCTCCGTCAGCAAACAACCTTGCTAGAGCTCTGAAACCATGCCATACTTCACCTCTATCTTTTGTTGAGGTACAAAATGATGTCTGAAATCTCTTTGGTTCTAAAGTATTTTAATAGGTTTGCTGCAGGGCTTAGTTAGTGGTACCTTCGTCTTGAACTACAAGGGATTCTAGCTATGCACCTGGGCAGAGCCAGAATCCCTTGTATTTTATAGGATGAAGGTAGTACATGTTTTATAGTAGCAAATTTGATGTGCTGAAATCCTAACATAATCTCAACCGATGACCAGGAAGGAAAGTGCATGGATCCTGGCATTGTAAGTTTGGCAGACATCTTGGGGACCAGGGTTGCAGACCATGTTCCTCAAACGCCTAACAAGATATCTGAGGACATGATCAAATCCATTGCGGCCATATACTTAAGGCTGAGAGACGTCCCTGCCGTGCAGCATGCCTTCTTCCCCTCACCGTGCTCATCCTTTTCTTCAGCAAGTGGACTATCTTCTAAGTATACTGCAGATATATGGAGCCCCAGGTGCAGGAAAGAGAGCTTCATCGAGGCGTGGCAGGACAACGAACTAGGCAATGGTGAATCAAGGGAGCTTGGGCTGCAATATGATTCTGTGATAGAGGTGTCTGCTCTTTGCAAGGGTGATCAGAGGTCTGCTGACGTTAAGGATATGTTGCGCAAATATATGTGAGTATTTGACATGTCATTTTTTTTTTCTCTTCCAGTCCGTAGGGATGAAAATACAAGCCTTTGCTGACTAGCTGCAGGTTCCACTTTGTAGGTCACTTGTACAGCTTCTAGAAAGTGTTGATCTCAGTGGAATGAAAAACGAAGAGAAGCTTGCTTTCTGGATCAATGTGCATAATGCGATGATGATGCATGTAACTATTTTCTTGCCCTGAACCTCGATATCTTACTCAGCTTCTTGAACTGATGGGTTTCAATCTAAGCATTTCTTCTTCTTCTTTTCAGGCCCATATCGAGTACGGGATTCCACAGAGTAACAGCAAAAGGATACTGCTTACCAAGGTGGAAAGACCTATATCGAATTATAAATCTAAGCCTGATTTGAACTTGAGTCTGACGACATGTTTTGCGCCACAGGTATCCTACATCATTAGTGGCCAAAGAGTAAACGCGGAGCTGATAGAGTACCAGATCCTGTGCTGCCGAGCACACTCTTCTGGACAGGTTTGTTCTGCCTTCTGCCTCCTCCTGTATTCTGTTTATTTTTGCCTCCCGGAGTCAGGCCTTAGCTTGAAAACTGGTCAGTCGATTCATGGTGGTTCCTTCTGGATGAATCCTGCAGTGGCTTCGGCTGCTGCTCTACCCGAAATGGAAGTCCAGCAGGGACAAGGACGAGCTGCAAGGCTTCGCCGTGGACCGCCCCGAGCCGCTGGTGCACTTCGCACTGTCCTCCGGTAGCTACTCGGACCCAGTGGTACGTAGCACGTAGCACGCTGCATCAAACGCACACCCAGAACCCCAACTCCCAGCTCCCAACGGGACGGGACACACGCACATCACGTACGAGTACGAGAGCTCCGAAGCATTCATCTCCTCGAATCTAATCCAACTGTAACTTTCCTTGCAGGTGCGGCTGTACAGCCCGAAGAGGCTGTTCCAGCAGCTGGAGGCGGCGAAGGAGGAGTACATCCGCGCCAACGTGGGCGTCCGCGGGCGGGGTCTGCACAAGATCATCCTCCCCAAGGCCCTGGAGCTGTACGCGCGGGACGCCGGGCTGGGCGCGCAGGAGGTGGTGGCCGCGGTCGAGTGCCACCTGCCCGAGGGCCTCCGGGACGCCGTGCGCCGGAGCCAGCAGCAGGCCGGGCGGGCGCGCGGCAGGGGCGGCGGCGGCGGCGGGGGCGGCGTGGAGTGGAAGCCCCACAACCTCGCGTTCCGGTACCTGCTGGCCAAGGAGCTCGTCGGCGGGTCCCCCACGTGCAGCCGGCCGCTCGAGAAAGGCGGCCCCGTCAGTGCGCCGCTGCGTGCTGATCTGTGATCCATCAGATCGCCGTGGGTCCGTGGCCGTGCCGAGCCGAGCCGGAGGTGTAACGAGTTTCGAGATGCGCGGCGGCCGGCGGCGGCACACTGCGGGGCGGGGTATGTTGTATGTACACAGAGAGGGACGCGAGACATCAACTGATGGACTAGTACTAGTATGCCTCTGTTGTCAAACATAGTGAATAGTGGCACCTGAATTCCCCCGCTTACCTGGCCGTTTGGAACGCAAGAAATTCGAAAGAAACTTTACACTAGGAGGTTCACACAAACCAACTCGTTTCACGGAGAAAGTGGAACGATAACGATACATACTAGACGTCCGGACGGGCGACCGCTCATTTCCGCACCTGCTCATTCCTCTCGTGCCCCTTCCGCCACTGCAGCATCTCCGCACCTGTCGCGCCCGCGCTGCAAACGCTCCTCTACCGAGCCGCACCCTGCCCCTGCCCCCACGCGCGTCGCACGAGCCGCGCGCCTCGCTGTCTCCCTCTCCCTCCTCCTGCTTCGACGCGGCGGCGTCCTCGACGCGAGCACGAGCTCTGATCCACGTGGCCACCCCCGCCACCCCCTTCCTCTTCCCCGGGCGGCCACCCCCGGCCTCAACTCCAGTGCAGGGACGAGCGCAACCGCGGCGGCGGCCCCGTCGCGGGCGTGCGGCCCTGCTCCTGCACTGGGAGCCCCTATGCCCGCAGATCCGGCGACCATGGCGATCCCCGCGCCAGGCTCTCTCTCCCCCATGTTGCAATTGTATGTTTCAGTTATTTCAGATGTATGTTGCAGTTGAATCATATGGATGTTGCAAAAGTAGATCGGGGATGTTGCATATGTTTGTTTTAAGAGGCATGTTGCAATAGTATGTTTCGAGTATCTCAGATGTTTCAAATGTATGTTTCATCTGTGTTTTCCAGACGCATGTTACAATTGTGTTTATCTGGATGTTGCACATGTTTCATACAAATGTTGCATGTGTTTTATTCGGATGTTGCGTATGGTTGCAATGGTTTTCAAGTGTGTTTCAGGTCATTTTTCAAGTGTTTCATAAGCATGTTTCAAGTGTTTCAACTGTCTTCAGACGTATGTTGCAGCGGTTGTATTTGGATGTTTCAAAAGTAGATTTAGTGTTGTATCTCTCCTACTCCCACATTCTGCTGCATCGCCTCTCCCGGAGCCGGCAAGGCATCCATACGAACGAGGGAGGGCGAGGGCACGGGACGAGGGAGTTGTGTGCGTCGAGCGCAAGGTACGGACGGACGTTGCCTACGGAGCGGGATGGGGGCTGCGTACGTCGCGGTTTAGGAGCAAGGGCGCATGCGCGTGGTGACGTGGGCGCGACGGGCGGAGCGCGCTGGTGTAGCATATGAGGGGGCGCGGAGGTTGCGTCGAACAAGAGCTGCGTTCGGACGCAGGTCTAGGGCCCGACGTCAGGGCTCCAGGCTCGCCGAAATCGGAAACGTTTCCACGTTCCAATGAAGGGCCTGGTTACAGTTAGTATAACACTGTACTCCGTACAAAGTTAGGCCCGTCCAGACCTGACCAGCTCGGCCCAGGAACAACCGGACCGGACACTTAACTTTGCCCGGCGTTTTCGGAACGTCCCGTCGATGTTTGGAAACGAGCACGACTCCTGCTTCTTGGTGGAGAAGAAAGAACGGGGACGACGAACGAGACTTTGATCCTGCTTCTTGGTGGAGAAGAAAGAACGGGGACAACGAACGAGACTTTAACTTGATTTCCTTAGCTATTGCTAAAACCCGCCGCTGTTTTGCTCTCCGCGTGCTTAGTCGCCCACGTTATTGACTGACGCTGGAGCCGCTGCCTGCTGGCCTCCTCGCTGCTGCCGCTGCGATGGCGGCCCGCGCCCCAGCTCCCAAGTCCCCAACTAACCCACCCTCGCTTTTGTCGCTGCGGCACATGGTTTTGGCCTTGCACCCCCGACTCCGTGCTGTATGCGTAATTGCGTACCCCAAGGGCCGCTGCCGCCCACTGGTAGCCGGTCCAAGCATCTTGGCTCGTCAGGTGCCCCAAGGGCCGCCCTCGCCTGGGCCGATCCACCTATATAAATATAAACTTGTGCTCCACTTCGGTTCGTATCACACCCAATTTTCCCACTACAACCGGAACGTGCACCCATCCAATCCCACCAGTGTCGGGCTCAGGTAACTGACACGGCTCTACATCAACTCAGGAAGCTAGCCAGCAAGCCGAACAATCAACGACAGGCATGGCGCTCGCGGAGGGGAACGACGCGGTCGTCTTCAGCGAGGAGCAGGAGGCGCTGGTGCTCAAGTCCTGGGCCATCATGAAGAAGGACTCCGCCAACCTGGGCCTCCGCTTCTTCCTCAAGTACGTTATTTGTTGGTATCCCTGTGCTATTTCTACTGCGTTTCGGTTGCATTGCACCGGCGGTCATCGCACTTGCTCCTTGATTCATGGGCGCCGCCGTCCGCTCCTGCTGACTGACTGCAGGGTCTTTGAGATCGCGCCGTCGGCGAAGCAGATGTTCTCGTTCCTGCGCGACTCCGACGTGCCGCTGGAGAAGAACCCTAAGCTCAAGACGCATGCCATGTCCGTCTTTGTCATGGTACGTACGTTCTCATGCATTTCTCACGCTAGAATCGATCGAGATGGAAGCTTCACGCGATCGATCGAACGACAAGGACTGACAGGAAATATTTGTGTGTCGCTATCAATGCTGCAGACTTGCGAGGCGGCGGCGCAGCTTCGCAAGGCCGGGAAGGTCACCGTGAGGGAGACCACTCTCAAGAGGCTGGGCGCCACGCACTTGAAGTACGGCGTCGCAGATGGCCACTTTGAGGCAAGTCCACATGCAACCGGGCCGGGCCCCCAATTGTCAATTCACCTTTATTCCTGACTTGGAAAGACAGAACGAAAGCGTTCTTGTCTTCTAGATTGAAAATGATGATGTCGCAACATTGAAATAATAATCGTAATATCGCGCGTGTTGATCACGAATACAGGTGACGGGGTTCGCGCTGCTTGAGACGATCAAGGAGGCGCTCCCTGCTGACATGTGGAGCCTCGAGATGAAGAAAGCCTGGAGCGAGGCTTACAACCACCTGGTGGCGGCCATCAAGCGAGAGATGAAGCCGGATGCCTAGTGCGACCACTGAGCTTCAAATTGACCCATACACAGCACCGTCTCAAATGTACCGTCGCTTGATTGCCGATTAACTCGTGTGATCTTGCACTTTAGCAATTTCTCTCAGGAGAAGCGTGTGTTATTATTTTTGTGAGAACTTGTGTACTGTCTTTTCTTCTTGTGATTAGTAATAAATAAAGATGTAGCATTCTCCAATTTGTTATATCAAATTTGAAAAGACTATATTCTATTAATAAAATAAATGGTTCATTAAAATTGTTCCAACTGTTTTTATTAGTTTTCATTATTTTAAATCGAGCTTTTAAAGTTCATAAATTAATATATGAAAGGAACAATAAAAGAATAAAAGATTATGTGCCAATATTTTCAAAGGTTGGAAGTAAATATGTAAATCTATACCATATATTTTAATTGATATTGACACAGAAAGGAAAAAAAGACAAAAAAAAAAGGTGTGTTGTACTCATGGGCCGTGCTCCCTTCGTTGAGCGTTGACTCAGCAATAAAATAAACGACACTGGTGTGCATCCATTGACTCGGTAGGTCGTAGCCAGCAGGTCTAATTCTAATGCTTGCAATAAGCTTCAGTTTCAGTAGCACAAGTGGCCATGTCAGTTTACATGGCGTCGTTCGTCGTCATTATGTTGCTCTTCCTAATCATCGCGATCCAGGCGGCGTCGCCGTGGGGGGTGGCACTGCTGCCGCCACCGGCGAGGGCGGAGACAAAAGAAGCGACAGGCACATGCCCCCCCTATAAATGTGAAATTTCTATTTTAAAAATTCAAATAAACTTTGAAAATTTAATACTGCTACCCCATCTGAAGTTCAAGACGTGCCGGTACGACTACCAGTACGTTAGCGTGGAGACGTTCGGCGTCCTTGCCTATGAAGCATTCACTTTCGGCGAAAAGGACCAGCAGGTCTCCCTGAGCTTAGGCTTTGGCTGCGGCGCGCTCACCGACGGCAACCTCCTTGGCACCTCCGGCATCCTGGGGATGGGTTATGTCGATGGTGTCGCAGCTGGTGATACCGAAGTTCTCCTATCGTCTCACGCCTTACGCCGACTGCATGGGCTAATATGCAGAGATACAAGACGACGGCGGGGCCAATCCAAAGAGTGCCTATCTTGAGGAACCCGGTATCGTGGCATTGACCGTCGGCGGAGCATGCTCAGGAGCCTAGCAAGGTTCTTGCGTTCGAGTGCGCACCGCCACCCACCGCCACCGAGAACACGCAAGGCTGCAAGGGCGGAGCAGGCGGCGGCGACATGTTGGTCGACCAAGAGGCGTACTTGACAAGGCAGTCTCCGTCATTGAGAAGGTCGCCACCAAGCTTTAGGCCTCTGGCGGGCCGCGAGCTAGCAAGGTGAAAGATAGTACTCCCTCTGTCAAAAAAACACAATCCTAACTTTGAACCTGGACACGCGTCATGTCCAGGTTCAAAGCTAGGATTACGTTTTTTTTTACGGAGGGAGTAGGCGTTATCTTGTTTGTTATAATTTAGACATGAGTAAGAACGACGTTCTGAGCTCCTCTATCAATGTTCACAGTGTGCTTATAATGATATGATAAGTGATCCTTCGTGGTACTCATAATAATATGATAAGTGATCCTTCGTGGCCTAATATAATGAGTGATCCTTCGTCGCGTAATGAAAAGTTTCTCTCCGTGTCCCATGGTCGGTTTTTTTTTTAGGGGATCCCATGGTCTGTCCTTATTAGGCCTCGTTCGGTTCTGTCTGATTGGCCCGTTCTGGACCCGTTCCAGGTGGATCGGAGCGCCCATTTAAAAACAGATCCACGGTGAAATCAGCATTCGGTTTGGGCTGGCCCGGAAAATAAACAGGCTGGGAACCAACTTTCCACTCCCCCACGGCCCGGAACGCATCCACTAGTCAGACCTCCGGCTCGGAGTCTGGCGCTGGACGAAAGCACGAGACGGTGCAGGAGGCGACGGCGCGGCGGCCCGGCACGGCCACCGCCGCGACGGCAACGGCGACGGTGAACGCTTCCCCTCCGACTTCCACGAGCCTTTTCTGTGGTAAGGCGGTTCAAAGACTGGTTAACTTCGTGGGCGGCGAGATCCGGCCTCCGGTCGCTGGCGGACGCGAGATCAGGCTCGTCGTAGTGGATGTAGAGGGAGATGGGTTCCAGCTTGAGCCTCGAGCTCCAGTTATGCAGCATCCGGCGGAGGCGCCAGGCGCGGACACCGCGGAACAGCGGCTTGCGCGTGGGTGTGCGGCAGCCACCAACCGGCCGCGGCGGCGGCGCAATAGCTGCGTCACGGCATCAGCTAGCGACCTGGGTTGGGGCCGCTGGACGGCTGGCAGTAAATTGGGTCGGAGGAATCCTGCCGTTTGCTCGTACTTGCGATGCAAATTGGGACTTGTTGAAAAGTGTTGTACGTATTTTATCGAGTGGGCGTGCACCCAAATAGGAGTACCCAAATTGGGACTTGTTTGATCTACATTTGAGATCTGGTTACATATATAACTCAGCTGTACTTGTTCAGATCATATACAAACTATTGGTTTCTTTGAAGCTCAACTGCACTCCACATTGGTTTACTGATCTGCAATTCTCTCGTTGGTTTTCAGGCCAAGTTTGTATTAATCTTCATCATGCAAATCTTTTTCAGGTTGTTTGAGACCCAACTAGGACAATTTCTAGGTTCAGATGTGTTGGTTGGTCGTGCCACATGCAGAGGCTGCTCAGATCCCAGATAGTGGTGGTGCATTACTTGCTAAATGATGTTGCATAAGTAAGAACATCTACTGACGGCACTTACGGGTACTGAAGGTTGGTTGTGATCATCTGATGCATATGTTTTCCATTTCATCATGTATTTTCTTAATAAGCATTCAAAATTGTTGCACAACTGTAGTTTAGCAATCTGGTGGACATGCATACTCTGCAGTACTAAATCTTTGCACGCCTTACTACTACAGTAAAAAAAAGAAATTTTTACTTTTTCTCTGAAATACTTCAATCATTTCCTACATCTCCATATCGTCCCTTATAGTATGCCTGGTAGGATAGATAATATTATGAAGGTATTTGGTTGCTGTTCTGAGGGGAAGATAATGATTCCTTGTGTTTTGTATGAATATGTGTGCTGGAGGATTTTGCGTAAATGGTGGGGTGCCATCCGCAGCACTCTTATATGTTACCTATGGATCCTTTAATTATATGAATTGATAAGATTTGGCTGCTTACAAACTTGATTATAATTAGTTATGAAGAAGGGCGGGCCTGGTGCAAGTGGTAGAGTCTTACCACCTGTGACCGAAAGGTCCCGGGTTCGAGTCGCGGTCTCCTCACATTGCACAGGCGAGGATAAGGCTTGCCACTAACACCCTTCCCCAGACCCCGCACAGAGCGGGAGCTTTCTGCACTGGGTACGCCCTTTTTATGAAAACAATCAAGAAAAGCTTTGGAGTCTTGCCAACAATACTAGCTATTCAACTAATCAGCCAGCCAACTTTGGTTACGATTACTTGCTTAGGCTATTAGGCACTGTGTTTATACACTTTCAACATTTCATGGAAGATAGCATCGCATCACCTATTGAGCTCCAACAAGTAATGCGTGTCCTCACCAATTTATATATATATATATATATATATATATATATGAATGCGCACAAACATTATGAATCCCTGTCCTTAACTGTAAAATAAATGGTGCTGCAGTGCTGTCTAAGCCAGTTCCAGGAGATTTGTTTTCCTTTTCCTATTGCATTATTTGAATGAACAAGAAATAAATACCCTATGGTTTATTAGAGTATTTTATTTATCAAAATTACAATTTGGCGTTGCAGATTGACCATTGTATAATAACTACAAGATTGGTTCTTCTAGCTTTGCACTCATCAGCTTTTAACTTCCAGTCTACCATTCACCAGTGCATTTTCAGTTCATATGCATGCTCTTACTATCATTATGAATTAGTTATTAGCGGTGTGTTCAGTGAAGTTATACTCGAAACAGAGAAATTACTAGCTTTTGTTGAGTTTTGGATGGACGCTTGTACAGTCAATATATATACTAGTAAATAACTGACTGACTGGCTCTGAGTTTAGTATGGTCTTAACATAATTTTCCTTGTGAATTGTAGTACTCCCTCTATTTATTTCACTTTTCAATTTAGACAATGGAATCTGAGTGTGACACTAGTACTCTTCCGATCTTCCTTTCCTTGCCAACTGGCATTTGCCTGATACAAAAACAAGTTCCTGTTGTGACATGGCTAGAAGCCTAGAAGGCTAGAACACAGTGAATTGATTCAGGTTGTTTAATGGTACTTTTTTTCTCCAATTATCTCCTGACACTTTTGTGGTATTAATTTTACTTGTGTAATTGACTGTTCCATAGCTCGTTTTGTTGAATAAGCATGTATTGAACACTACATGTTGGTTTGTTGCAGGAAGCTCCAAGGTCAATACTCATCAACTACTAGACAGGCATAGAAGGCCATTGTCTGAGTACAAGAAGAGGATTTATCATTCTATTTTATCCTGCATCATCATAAGCTACCTATTGAATTTTGAGAATAAGCCTTGTCAGTTTTGTTTATTTGTTGCTTTGACAACATAGAATATTTATGTTTTCAAACTGGTTATATAATTATGCTTTGGATTTATGCACTTTGGGTATTACCGTAATTTATGTTTTGGATCTAGGAACCATTTCCATGTTTAAACATGATATAATAGCACTTTGGGTCCTGAGTGTTTACCACCACCATGTGTGTCTTTGAGTTGATGACCACGCCATGCAATCCCTGGCTTAATCGCAGGTAAAACCGAATGCAGTTTTTGAAGTGGGGGATTAAGAAAAGGAGAGTGTTCAATCCTCAAGAGGTTTGAGTGACATGGTAGGGATCCACTCAATCAGTCCCTGGATAACCGTGTGAACCGAACGAGGCTAGCGAAAGTAGTTTTTTTTATCAGATACAACTTGGACGTATATAACCCACACACTCTACACTTACACCATATGCACACACACGCGTGTGCGTCTATACACACGCAAAGAAGAGATTGGGAGGCTCTCTAGTCTCCAGCGCGTGGAAAACGCGCACGCGTGCGTGTACCATGCAAATTCTAAAAAAAACTAAGAAAATAGGTGCGACATCAGGGTTTGAACCCTGGTGGTTAGCGTCCCACTAGACTATCCTACCACTGGACCACAGGCCCCGCGCGAGAGTAGTTAGCTGTGTTTGGGCCGACCATCCTCGCAAGCACGGGTGAAGCTCCCATAGGGAGACCCATAGACCCATCGAGAGAATAGGTCGTATGCTGCCATCTGGTGCAAAAGAGAAAAGGTTCTTTTACCTCCACCAAACTATTATTGCACTACAATTTCCCTCGAATTTCACAAATGGACATTCTACACCCTTGATTCTTATAAAACAATTTAAATTACCATGCTCCGGTTTGAAGTCGTTTCCGAGGTGATTTTATCCTTTTTTCTTTAAAAAATCCGGTAAACACTAGATAAAATTTTCAAACACATAAAAATGCCTATAAGCTTGTAAAAATTCCAAAACATTTAAATATTGGGACTAAATAAATGCAAATAAAATATTTAAATCTCATGAAAATATCTCTAAAAGCTTCAAAAATTATATTTACCTCTAGGAAAATGAGAAAAAATATAGAAATTTGTAAAAATCCCCAAAACATTATAATTGTCTAAACACATTTTTTAAAAATTTAAAACAAATACATGACATGCAACCAGCATAAATGCATAGTATGAACACATTCAGCGTTGTCCTCATATTGGTTGCATCTCATTTTTTGTTGTGGAAAATTTTAAAAAGTAGTTTATACATTAGTTATAATGTTTTGTAAGTTTTTATAGAAATTTTGTACATTTTCCCATTTTCTTATAGCTAAATATAATCTTTAAAGCTTCTAAAGGATTTTTTGCGAGCTCAAAATATTGTATTTGGGTTTGTCGTGTCTCACCCTGTTTCTAGTATTTTCCTTGGAAACTTTAGAAGCTTAGAGTCATTTTCGTGATTTATAAACGTTATCTAATATTTGTCGGGTTGTTGTTTAACTAAAAAAAAAGCTGAGGCCAGTTTGGAAACCACTTTAAACTGAGTTAGGGTGTTAACTTAAAGGTTTTGGTAGTTGAGCGCCGTAGGATGTCCGGTTTTGAAGGCTCGTTAAAAAAAGTCTGGATTTAAAGTTCGAGAAGAAAAATTAGACTGTTTTAATTGTTGAGGGAGGTAAAATGAACTTTTTTCATTACAAAATGGAGGAACACGAATACAAGGAATAAGGGCAGCCCAACAATGTTGGCTATAATAGTTTATTGCATTAATTAGGTTGTACAATTTGATGATGTGGCAAAAGGGTTATCCAAGAGAGAAAATGATTTTTTATCTACTAAAGCTATTATTAGTGCTAAGTTTCCTGCATTTTTTCGAAGAGTGAGGTGTGGATGATGAAACAAAGCGTGCTCCATGATACGTATTTTAACGTGGCATGATGTTACGAAATGAAATGTTTCCTGTGGAGTTTTATCCAGTTTTCAGCACGTGGGGATGAAAAAATAAACACTTTCGATGAAGTTTCGCTTAGTTTTCAATTCGTTGGAAACAATACGCGTACGGTTTCGTCTGCATGAAACTCATCCTCTATCTTCTCATAATTTCTATACCATATCACTGTTTTTGATGATGTATGCATATCTCTTTGTTGCCTAAACCCAGTCCTTCCGTTTCCTGATGAAAGGAGCTAGATTAGCGTCCGGCCGATTAATTGGGTTCCATCCGTATGGGCCCTTCGCAGCTGCCGTAATGCCGTTGGGTTGGTTCGCCCATCGCAGAATGCATGCGCAGCCGCCGCTCAGGAGAAGGAAATTGCACGGACGGACGGAGGCTCCATGGAGACCCATCAACAGCCCAACCAAGATAACGGCCCATATCACTGTGTAGTATTTTTTTTTCTAAATAACAAAATTGACGGACACGCGCAGAAGTACTCCAAAGCTAACGGTTAAACATACAGTAAGCACAAAGCACACACGACAGGCTGATGAAAATTAATAATTGATACAGTGCACCAAATTGACACGCATGTCTCGCCCAACTGCAAATCGTCAGGGATTGAAATACACAAAAAAAGAAAAGGAATCCTCGATCAACGTGGTGTTGGCGCAGCCGCAGATCGAACTCCGTACGAGCATCCGATCGAACCCACACCCCAATCAGTGCGCTACGGGCTCGATCGGAATATCTTGGCTGCTAGCCTGCTACCAACGGGACAGTGCCGCACTGCTGCAGTGCAGTGGTGGGCTACGAAAAGCGAACGGCTAGATCTGTGTGCGTGTCTCTATGCGTGTGACCGAGGAGAGCAGGTAGCCCCACCCACTCCTAACCGTGAGGCGTGACACTGGCCTCTGCATCGCGTAATGCTACGGTGTTTTTCTCTCTCCATATTTTAATATAAATATTAGTATAAGTTAAATTTCAGTATAAATGAATAGGGTGATGCATTGTTAGGTACCTTCACCAAATTTCCAGACAATTTTGTTTGGTAGGGAGAAGTAGCTCGGCGACAAGATCGAGTGGACGACGCTATAGTTAAAACCATCATTGTTTTGGCTTACGTATATTAGTATTATATATAACGTACGTACTATATTTGGTTAGCAATAATAATACTGTCACGCCGGCTGAGGCTGGCCCCGTCGCAATCGCAACACGCAAT